GGAGCGTGAGGGCTGTGGTGGGGGGCCTCGCTGGTGAGTGGCAGCATGGAGGGATGGGAAGGGGCTCCCTTTCACCGTAGATTTTTCATCTAACTGCACACATGGAGCTGGAATGGCCCCCGTGCCCCCCACACTGGGTGCTGCAGCCCCTATGGAGCCACAGCCCCACTGGGACTCTCAGGAACCAGCATCAGGCAGGAGGTGGCACCTGGGAAGGCACAGAGGGTCTGGGCTGCCTACCCAGACCAGGGCTGGGGGCTCATTGGCAGCTCCTCCAGGCCACAGGCACCTCCATAGTGAGTTGGGCACTGCCTGACCATCTCCCTCCTGCTCCTTGCCTCCCACAGCTGGCCAAGGAGAGCGAGCGTCTCCAAGCAATGATGGCCCATCTTCACATGAGACCTTCAGAGCCAAAGCCTTTCAGCCAGCCTGTAAGCGTGAGTCCCCTTCCTGCCCTCTACGTCCTCACAGCCACCCCCTCTCCTCCTCTTCCCCCTCACTGCTGTTCCCCCCCTGCCCTGTGCATGGTCACCACTGGGTGGGCTCTGTGGGATGGACAGAATGGATGTATCCAGGCCTGTAGGTGCATCCCATCCCATGGTTGTGTCCTCTCCTGCAGTTGCATCCCCATCCCTTGGTTGCATCCCATCCCTGCCAAGCCCAGCAAGTGTCCCCCCTGCCAGCCCCTCCCTGCCTGCTCTGGGGCACGAGCCAGCTCAGCCCTCCCAAGCTCCCTCTGTGCCGGGGGCTCTCCCAGCCCCTGCCTTCCCAACCACCCGTCCTGCCTCCCCCCTGTCTGTGCAGCTGAACCTGGTCTCCAGTGCCACCCTCTCCAAGAGCACTTCCGACACGTTTCCCGACGGTTTACCTCATCCCCCCACCTCAGCCACGGCGCCCATCACCCCCCTGCGGCAGGGCCCCTCCGTCATCAGCTCTTCCACTTTACACAACGTGGGGCCCATCCGCAGGAGGAACTCGGAGAAGTTCTGCACCCCAATATCTTCAGGTGAGCTCCGGGCTGGGGCTCAGCACCCTCCACGCTGCAGTCCCTGGCTGCCAAAGCAGGTCCCTTCACCCCTCGCCCTCCCCTTTCCTGTCGCCCCCCAGAGCTTGCACAGAATCACGAGTTCTACAAGAACGCCGACGTCCGGCCGCCCTTCACGTACGCCTCGCTCATCCGGCAGGTCAGTGGCTCCCCGTGCCCTGGGGTCCAGCTCTGCACCCCGAGACCTGCCTGTGGGGCACCTCGGGCACAGCTGTGCTCTCCCCCACCCTCTCTGTCCTGGGTGAGCCCCCACATCCACTGAACCCCCTGTTCTGCCCCTCGTGCCTCACCAGGGGATGGGCATCGAACCCCAGCGGGGCGCTGTGAGTGATGCTCTTGTCCCCTCTCTGGTTCCCCAGGCCATCCTGGAGACCCCCGACAGGCAGCTAACGTTGAATGAAATCTATAACTGGTTCACGCGGATGTTTGCCTACTTCCGGAGGAACACGGCCACCTGGAAGGTGAGAGCAGCCCTGCTTGGCACCGTGGGCTCACCCCATCCCACCTGGGCTCACCCCATCCCACCCGGGCTCACCCCATCCCACCCAGGCTCACCCCATCCCACCCAGGCTCACCCCATGCCACCCAGGCTCACCCCATCCCACCCAGGCTCACCCCATCCCACTGGGGACTCCCTGCTGCAGGAGATGCTCCAGCTTGTGTGGGCACCTCTGGTAAAGGACCAGTTCATTGCACAGCTCTGAGATGGTGCAGGAGATGATTTTATGGATAAATCCCCCATTTTCCCTACCCAAAATGCGTCCCTGGTCTGTGAGGGCACATCATCCCTGTGCTGGGCTTTTCTGTGGAGCTGAGGCTGGAGGAGAAGGGCAGAGACAAAAGAGAGACACTTGAAGTAACAAAGAAGGTTAATGATAACCTGGGGGCAGGTGACTCTGAGAGATGAGGTGGCTGGGCCTCAGTGCTGGCTGGGGGTGCAGGTGCTGGGCCAGGGGGATGGAGGAAGAGTGGGGATGGCAGGGGGACCATCAGCAAGGGGAACTCCTCTGCCAGACCCCAAGCAGGTGCCTGTGCCCGTCAGGTCCCCCCACCCGGTGCACGGTGCTGTACAGGCAGGTACTGAAAGTTTTTGTGCCTGAGTAGCCATTTGTCACCAGCCTGGGCTGATGGAGGTGAATTTGGGGGCAGCACGTGGGTGCTGGGGCTGCTTCCCCCTTGGTTATTTAGAAATTGAGATTTGAGAAAACACATCTCAGAGGAGCAGGGAGCTGTGGAAGGAGCAGTTCTGTGATTCAGTTATTGCCTCGACCAGGGAAGATTTACTTATTTATTGTTTCCTGCTGCATGTATTTACCGAGGCACAGCTCAGCTCCCTCCTGCCCAGGGCAGCAAGGAGTGAAGTGGCAGAGGGACACGTGTTAGTTTAAAATAAAAATAATTAGAATCAGCGAGGTGCAAGCGAGATGGAGCATTTTGAGAGGGTTGAGGAGGAGGAATCGATTCTCCCTGAGCCCAGGGCCCCCGTGTGTCGCTGTGGCAGATCCGAGCTGGGATCTGCAGAAAACTTTTGGGTGAATAGCAGGGATTTTGGCTCCCCAGCACTCTGGGTGGGCCCTGCCTTCAGCACGAGCATCCCGGCACGCCGGGCAGGAGGAGGGCACTGGGATGGGGCTGGGCAGGAGCAGCCGGGTGCTGGGGCAGTTTTGGGGCTGGCCACGGGCTGTGTCAGTCTGGAGTGCCCCTCGCTGCACACAGCCAGCACTGCAAGTGCACCACGAGCATCACTGGCCACTGCCACTGCTGCCACCACTGCCACCACCCCGGCCTGGGACACCCCACACTGGGCACACGGTGGGCAGCAATGGGGAGCACTGGGGCAGAGCCCACTGTGGCCATCACTGCTCCCAGCACTGTCCAGGGCAACACTTCACCTGCTCCGTGCCTCAGTTTCCCCCTCTCTGGAATCAGAGAATGGCAAGTGAAATGTCTTTTTCCCACCTTTTTATTAGCTGGAAGGATTAAATATTTTGGGAGGTTTTTTGTTGCTTCCCTGCACCCCGTGTTACCAAGGGCAGGGTTGAAGAAGGGCATCTCCCAGCCCTTCTGCTTCCCATTGGTTTTTTTCTTCATTTTTTCCTGTTCTATCGCCAAAGGGGATGGCAGGAGGTTAAAAAGAGCTGGAGGGGGGGATACTTCTCTTCATAACTTCCATTGTCCAAGGTCAGGCTTCTTCTGGAGGAGTGGGATACGCTGGAAAAAATTGTGTATTTCCTCTCTTTGAAAACCACCATTTCTGCTGCGGCTTCTCCCTCATCTCCTGGAGCTCCCCTGGGATGGGGACCAGGGTGGGTGCCCCATGCCCACAGCAGGGGGGACCCACAGGGAGCCCCCAGCACAGCCCAGGGAGTGGGTGGAGGGTGTAAAGCAAACATCATTAGAGGAGAGAGATGAGAAGCAAACAGAGCAGCCAGGTCTGGCTCTGAACAAACACTCTGTCGAAACACAAAAGCCACATTGGGCTGAGGCACCGTGGGGGTGGATCCTATGCCATGGGGGGCTCACCTGGCACCTCCTCCCTGTCCTGGGCACAGCACCCTGCCCAACACCCAGCACAGGGATGGGGCATCCCAGGCTCTGGGGGTGCTGAGCCGCATCCTGCCCACTGCCAGGATTTATTTTACCTCCACTGGAGCCTTTGCAGGCACATCCCCACCCGGGTGCTTCAGAGCAGGGGGTTGTCACCGGGGAGAGAGGGGGATGTGGGCACTGCTGGGCCTGTGTCTCTGTGGGCAGGGAAGGTTCTGCTTTGCCACGCTCGTGGCTGCAGTCAGGGCATTGCTTGGACGAGGAGCCCCCTGCACAGGGAGGAGGAGGATGAAGGGGAGTGTGGGCAGGATCCAGCCAGGGAGGGACGTCCTGTGTTTGCTCACTGGGACAGGGGTTCAAGGGCAGTGGAAGGCCCCAGCCCTGGCTGGACTTCAGACCCCAGGCAGGGGATGGTGCGAGGACAGAGTGGGGGACAGGGGCTTGTCCTGCTCCCCCATGGATTTCAGGGTCCTCCTTGGAATTCCAGGTCCCTGGGATGTGCAGCCTGACCCTGGGAGATGCCAGCACGGGGTTTGAGGCTGAGTGGTGCCTCCCAGCAGGGCATGGCCCAAATGGAGCGTGTCCCCTTGGGTGACAGTGACAGTGGCTCTGAACTGGGACCCCAGGACCTGGCTTCAGCCACACCCGAGATGCTGGGTCAGCTCCCGATCTGTGGGGTCCTGCAGGGGTTCCCCCCAAAAAAATCACATCAGACAGCACTGGCTGGGCCCAAATCTCCTTCCCCAGGAGCCCTGAGAGCTGCTTACAAAGTTTCCCCTTTGGACTGTGCTCTGCAAAGGGCCAGAGGAGCCAGAGCCCGGCCCTGCTGCCTGTCACCGTGTCACCCAGCCGTGGTGTCAGCACCAGGCACTGTGGCACGGCTGGAGGGAGGGGTCTGGGGGGGAAGGGATGGATGGAGGACAAGGGAAGAGCCCAGCTTTGTTTGTTTTTCTCCTTAAATGAGAAGCAAAAGGGGTGATGGTGCCATCTGATGAGGTTCTGGGCGCTCTGGCACTCGCTGGCGCGGGGGGGGGCTCAGTCCTTGTGTCTCCTCTGGCCTTGTTGTGCTGGCCAACTCCTTTGTTTATCCAGCCCTCGCTCGACCTTTTAAATTGCTGTTAATGTTTTAGCGTAACGAATTAGTCTCTCATCACGAATCAGGACTCGAAATAAAAAAAAAAAGGGGAGAAAAAAAAAAACCCTCCGAGGCCAACTTCCTGAAATTGGGGTCATTCTCATTTGCAAGGCAGAGAATCTGAGAACCTTAATGCAAGGAAATTTATTCAAAGGCAGAGCCCCGGCGTGATTAGGCCCTTTGTAATTATAGCTCGGAGAGATTCCACTCCAGCCTCCTGCCTCCCTCATGGATTAGCAAGTGAGTCGGAAAAATACACAGGATTTAATTAGAGGCAAATTAAAATTGGTAATGAAATAGGGGCAGTAGCAAATGGCAGGGAGTTGGAAGGGGAAAAGGGAGCTGGTATCTCTCGGGGCTGTGCTGTCTGCCTACGTGTGTGTCTCTTTATTTTACATTTAGAAATGTAAAGATGGTCGATGTAAAGAAGAAAGGGAGGGAAAGGACCAAAAGGGGAGGGTGGGGGAAAGGAAAAGAAAGGGAAAGATTAGCTGGCTTTGCCGAGCAGAGAGGGTGGTTCTGCTCCCAGTCCTCGCTGCTGTCACTTGTTCCATACTGTCCCCTCTTCCTCAGCATCTGGCCAAGGTCCTCAGAACGGGGTCATGTCCCATGTGTGGTTTGGGGGCTCGACAACTCAACCCCCTCAGTGCTGGTGGAGTGGGGGAGCACTCACAGCAGCCTGGGTGGCTTTGGGGGGGAGCGTCGGGGTGGCCAGGACAGCCCGGAGCTGTGGGGACCTGCGGGGCTGGCCAAGGAGGAGGATGGTGAGGAAGAGGAGGGTCTGGGCAGTGGGATGAGGGTCATGCCACTGAGCTCCTGCCCTCTCTGCCCACAGAACGCCGTCCGCCACAACCTGAGCCTGCACAAGTGCTTCGTGCGCGTGGAGAACGTCAAGGGAGCCGTGTGGACCGTGGACGAGCACGAGTACCAAAAGCGAAGGCCACCAAAGATGACAGGGTGGGTGCTCCTTTGCCACGGACACAGCCTGGGAGCTGTGCTCACACCTGCCCCTGCCACCAGCATCCCTGTCCCCAGGCCAGCAGCGCTCAGCCCCACGTCCTTCTGCTTTCTCTCTTTCTGCAGGAGTCCGACCTTAGTCAAAAATATGATTTCAGGACTCGGTTACGGAGCACTTAATGCAAGTTACCAGGTAAGGACCCCGTCCTGTCCCTGACTGGGACACGGGGGCACAAAACCCCTCCATGGTCTTCTTTCATCAGGAACTGTAGTGAGGGACAAGGGGAATGGGTTCAAACTGAAACGGGAAATTTAGGTTAGACATACAAAAGAAGTTCTTCCCTGTGAGGGTGGGGAGGCCCTGGCACAGGTTGCCCAGAGAAGCTGTGACTGCCCCATCCCTGGAAGTGTTAGAGGGGCTTGGAGCAGCCTGGTCTGGTGGAAGGTGTCCCTGCCCATGGCAAGGGGTGGAACTGGTGATCTTTGAGGTCCCTTCCAACCCAAACCATTCTGATTCTGTGATGCCCCTGCAGGCTGCGCTGGCAGAGAGCAGCTTCCCACTGCTCAACAGCCCCACCATGATCAACACCAGCTCGGCCAGTGCCATGCTGCACGTGGGCCACGACGACGTCAGCAGCACCGTGGAGCAGGTCAACAGCAACGGCAGCAACAGCCCGCGCCTGTCCCCGCAGCAGTACAGGTCAGCCTGGGGGACGGCAGGGACGGCGCTGGCGGGGGGCACTGGGGTGCTGGAGGGCTTGGAGCTAAAGGATGGTGACACATCAGGCACCAAGAGCTGCTTGTTGCTTCCCACGGCTCCTGTCCCCTGGGTGAGGAGGGTTTTGGACCAAGAGCTTTGTGAGGTTGTGGCTGGGGGGGAGCAGCCCCCCGAGGCTGAAGGCTTCCCTCCCCACAGCCACCCAGTGCACGTGAAGGAGGAACCAGCCGAGGCGGAGGACGACAGCAGACCTGTGTCGCTGATGGCCACCACCAACCAGAATGTGACGATTCCCGACGACAGGGACCTGGAGGAGGAGCTGCCAGTGGAAGACTTGTCCTAAGGACTCCTTCCTCCTCCCCACCGAGGGGCAAACCCTTCCCACCCTCCCGGCCGGAGACCAAGCGACGCTCCCACCTCCCCAAGGTGACCTTCGGCGTTAACCTGTTCTTTAAAGGCACTTCCACAAAGCAAAAGGGTTTCCTTGGGGCAACGACCCGTTGCTGCCGGCGCGTCCCCGGCGCTCCCACTGCCCCGCGCTGCAGCTGGTGACTGACCGACCCTGCCACGGGCACGTCCCGTGGCACGAGAAGCAGAAACCCAAGAGCTGGACTTTTTCTCCCCTCCTCCCTTGGTTAGTGACTGGTGAACGAGGATGGTAGGTTGTTTCTGTCCGAAATGGTCCCTTCCTTCCCTCCCCGTGCGCGGCGGGCGCAGGGAAGGCACCTCTGTCCCCTCCTCCCGGTGCTCGGCCGCCCCGAGGCAGCGATGGCAGGAACCCACTGTCGTCCCTCGGGCCCCCGGTGGGTTTTGCACTAGGAGGGACCGTGGACCCTGCCCACGTGTGCTGCCTCCAGCCAGCTTTGGGGGAAGAAACAGCAGAATCGGGGCTAAGCCCTCTGCCGTGCTCTGGATGTCGGGCTCGCACCGTTGTCTCGAAGCTGGGGAAGGACAAGGACTGGCACGTCAGTGGGACGGGGTCCCCTCTGCCTTGTCACCTCTGGCCAGTTGCTAAACTACCTGGCAAGCAGAGCAGCCTCCCCAGGCTCTGCCTTCCACGGGCTGGTGGGGGCTCCTGGCACCCAGCAGTGCTGACCATCCACAGCCGACTGCCAGCGCCAGCAGTGAGGACACGGCTCCCCTGTCCTGCTCGACGTGGCTGCAGCAGGTGACACCTCCCAGCCTGTGTGGGGATGGCATGGCCAGTGGCCCGACTTCGACTTCAGGGAAAGGCTCCCGGCCCCCTGCGTGCCCTGTTCCACCTCCAGAGCCGGGGCAGGGTCTCAGTGGAGCAGGAGGGCAGCATCCCCCAACACCGACCCTCCTCCTGGGGGCACCTGCAGAGGAGCTGGGGGCCATCCCATCCCGCTGGGAGCAAAGCTGAGCCCGATGGATCCCTGTGGTGGCCAAACCTGGCCACGGCCCCCAAGCCGAGCCCGTTGCAGGGGGGCTCCCGCTTTCATCTTTTCTTTTCCTTATCCTTTTGTGTGCATCCAGATGGGAAGATACCAAAAGATTTCTAGAGACAGAAGGTCCGTAGTTCAGGTGAACAGATGGTATTAATGCCAAAAGAAAAAAATATTAATAATAATGAGAACAACACAACCAAACACCCCTCTTCTCCCTGCTCTTTCTTTCTGGGGTGGTGATGTGGGTACCCAGTGCCAGCCTCCTCCTGGCAGGCAGCGTGGCATCCTCAGTGCCCTGTGCTGGCTTCAGGGAGCATCACCTTCCCTGGGGAGCATCACCTTCCTTGGGGAGCATCACCTTCCCCGGGGAGCAGCACTTTCCCTGGCACAGCCGGGCTGGCACTGGCTGTCCTGGCACACAGTGGGGTCTTTGGGGACTCGCTGTGATGGATGTGGGGCTGCTCACGTTTTTGAGCCCAGCTCCAGGCTCCCCCAGAGCAATCCCGAGGGTTGCTCCATCCCTCCCTGTCCCTGGTACTCTGGGATGTGACACTGGGGGGCTGTGTCACCCCACGGGACATGGGGCTGACACCCCGGGAGCAGTGTTGAAAATGCAACACACAGCTGTGGCTCATGGGGGGCTGTGTTTGTCTGTCCCCACGTCACCTCTGGGACCTCCCCAAGGGGCTCCTGGTGCTGTGGGGTAACCCCAGGGTGAGCCCATACTGGACTCATCCTTTTCACTGCCTGAAGCATCCCCAGTACCCAGGTGCCTGCAGAGAGGGGGTCCCTGGGCCCCCCCTGCAGCCG